CAGCTTTAGATAATCCATTCCTCGTTGAAATTTTAAAAAATAAAAAGCAAAATGCAATTACAGGATAGTGTGATTGTATTCCTATTTTTTTTGTTTTTAAATATTGTTTTGTAGTACAATTTTTAAATTTGTTTTTCAGGAACAAACAATTTTTTTAAATTATATTAATTTAAAAATAATTTTAAAATTAAAAAATAGCTAGTAATAATTAATCATGACTATAGTACTTTTAAATAATAAATAGTCAAATTTACATTTCTTTGAAAATTGAAAATAAATTAAAAAAATAAAGTGCCAATGGTCAACAGCAACGCCATTTTCTTACAAACCTAGGCCTTGTTTGGTATGCAAGCTTGAATTTAAAAAGATTGGAATTGACACTAGGGCTGAAATTGAGATCGGAATAAAAGTGGGATCGGGGCTTTAAAACTATATTTGGTATGGAGTAATAATTGTAAGAAATACTTTCTTTTATTTTATTTTATAATTAACATAAATTATAAAAATAATATAATATCCCTTTATAATTTTAAAAAATTGCCAAAACCCATCTCTGTCACTCATGAATTAGACCTAACCTCCCTTTATCGCCCATCACCCTATTCAACAACATGGAACTAGAAGCAAATGCAGCAACGATTCTCATATGTGATGGATCTCAAAGATTCAAAAGCAAATGCAATGACCTTGTTTAACACAGATTCAAAGGCAAGAAGGCGAGTAGATGCAAGAAGATGTAGTGCTAGAGGACTGTGGGAGGTAGACAAAGGGAGAAGGGAGAACAGCGCCTGTAATGGAAGAGGAAAGGAAGACAAAAGGAGACGAAGGAAGACAAAGGGAGAATGGTCGAAGGTAGACAAAGGGAGCAAGGAGGAAGATGAACCTGTCAATGGTGGAGGACGGCACGATGCTAGGGACGGTTATGGCAAACTTGACTAGGTGAGAGAACAGTAAGGGATGGGGTTGGAGGTGAGGGTAAAGAGACAAGAGAGAGAGGGTGTAAGAATGAAGGTAATTTGATCTGAAAAAAATCAATCTCAAGATTGATTTTCCAATACTAGAGAAGGTGGTGGGATTAGGTAATCCCATGTAGATGGGATTAGGTAATCCCATGCTTTGAATTAAATTTTCCAATGCTCCATATCAAATACAAAAAGCTGGTACTAGCCAGTGTCAATACCAGTCCCATCTCTTTAATCCTTCATGCCACATAGGGCTTTAAGGTCCAGTCATCCTGGGTTCAAACCCTGCTTTTAATACTTGGATGTGTGAGTTGTGTGTATTTAATTTAGTTTAATTTGATCTCTAAAAAAAAATTGAAAACACCTCTATGATGTTTCTACTTTTTGTTTTAAAAAATAAAAAATGAGAACAATTTTAAAACACCTAAATTCAAAGCACTTATTTAAACAATTTTTTTATTTTTAGAATCAATTTTTTTTTTGAAAAAAATCAAATAAGATCTAAATCATCCACGGCATTAATATGTTAGTTTTCAATATGATTTGTGGCTTTGTGCAAAGCCTATATTTATTTTATACGTTCACATTTAACGAACATATATAGAAGCATTTGCAAATTATTTAATAATAAGATCCTTACATCAATAAAATTCACTATCTTGGGAGTTATATGCCAAATTTTTATTAACTGGGTCACTTTTTATTAGTGAAAATTATAAAATTATAGCCATCTATAAAATATGAAATTTTTTAGGATGAATTGGCTCACTAGTCAAAAAAAGTCTTGTATTAAGAAAATACACTCAAATTTTTAGTTGGTTTATATTGATATATAAGAGGTTTATTATTAAAAATTTAAAAATTTACATTGATATGCAACGATATATCATTGATAAATATAATAAACTAATTATAATATAAAATATAATAAATATTAAGTTATTTACTTGATTTAATCATGTAATATAAGCCATACCTATAAAAGTCTTACTTTTTTATTTGATAATTGATGACTTTTATTGGGTATTTCAATTGGGTTTCGGCATTTTGGGCTCGTCATTGCAGGCCGGGCCGAAGCTTGTACTTCTATTATGCTTTTTTTTTTTGGGGGATCATTTACATGAATTATCAGTTTGCGGAAACGGTTTTTAAATCTTTTAAAACGATGACACAGTTTGTATCTTTTTTATCTTTACAGTTGCATGTTTTTTGAAGATTTTCTTCGACGGAAAAACTCATCAAACATATTTCATTAAATAAAATACCCTAATATTTAAAAGTTACATTAGAGTACTGATTAATTTTAAAAAAAATTAATCATTTGGTTCCTTAAATTTCAACTCAGTTACAACTCACTCTCTCAGTTTAAAAATGTAAGACATTTTTTGAAGAGTTAGATGTTTAAAAATATAAGAGATTTTTAGTCTTTTGAAGTGTAATTATTGTCCTTTTTTTTTTTCAAAAGTGTCCCTATTAGTGTTGACTTTATATTTATTATAGGGTATTTAATAGGGGTAAATATAAAAAAACAGGGTTAGTTTGAAAGTAAGTAACTATTTTATTGGAGGTGAGATTCGTTTAAAAATATCTTACATTTTTTAAGGGGTGAGTAGTTTTTAATTTTGACTTGATAACCGTTAGTCACATTAGAGCAGCATCTTAAATTAATATTTCTCATTTTGTGAATTAGTCTTAGCTAGAAAGTTATCTAGCAGGAATTTCATCATCAAAATAACTTTTGCAAATAGTTCATCTGCAAGAAAGCAAAATTAACTCTACTAATACATCAACTCATGATGATTATATGTTGTTTTAAAACTTTACATGCCAACATTTTAGATAGATCAAACTAAAGAGACGTGAGATAAGAAAATAAAACTACAAGAATTAAAAATAAAATACAATCAAAATACAAGGGCATATTGTTATATTTTTCTTAAAGAAATTAATTATAATAAGTTCTTTGAATTTTAGTTATTACTAATGAATTCCTTAAATTAAAAGCATACTAGATGGGTTGTAAATTAAGTAGTTTGACTTATAAATATTGGAGGATGACTTAGCTTGTGCAAAAAAAAAAATAAAAATCATCCGCTAGTGATTTATAAGTCATCATCTAATATTTGAGTCAAATTGAGAAATTTACTACTTCTCTAGCGTGTTTTTCCCCCTTCGATTTTTGCACAAATTCTTCAATAAATCTATTAGCAGTAACTTATCTTTCAGGGTACTTATTAATGATTTTTTTTTTTTGCTTGGGACATCTCTATAGTTTATAATTTACATATGACGTAGAAAAAGTTATAACAAAATTAACTATATGCGAGTGAGTCACGAATATTGCAATCCAATGTATAAATACTTTTTCTTTTTAAATACAAGGTTGCAAAAACTGTGCATGGAAAAATAAGTTTATGTTAGAGCATGAAAAACTTTTGCACCCTAAGGGTGCTATTACAAAAATTGTAATAACTAGATTGATGTTAGACGCTTGACGAGCAAGTCAATTCATACATTTATTTGCTTCTTTAAAAATATAATCAAAAGCAATAATTCAATCTCTTATAATCAAGTCTCTTATTTTATTGACAATATTTGAGAGTGGATGATTAATGAGAGCAAAAGTTTTCATTAAGTTAGAGTAGAGAAGCTTGACCTTAAGCCTAAGGATGGATCTAAAACTAAATCTATGGGGGTTAAAATGCATAACTACATTATAATAGGGAGTTAAAAATTAGTTTTAACATTTTTAATAAAAAAATGTAATTTTAATTTTTAATTTTTTTTTGTATGGTAACAAGCTTGCCTTCTTCTAAATCTGTCCCCCCCCCCCTCCTGAGCTAAATGAATCCTTTCCCATTTGGCCAAGCAGAGCAATACACAACGGTTAGTAATCAAATAGCTGTGGTGAATGAGTTTAAAACTTAAAAGGTACAATTTTGTTTGCCTAAAAAAACATAAACGAACATGAATGTGATGGGTAAATGCAAAGACAACCCTTTTTCACTTTACCATAAGATTCAAGGAAGCCCACAAATTAACCCTTGTTTGCTTGTGAATTTGTGACTGTGAGTCCCAAAATGTCAAAGGGATGGGCCCCACTCTCCCACTATGATTGAGATTCCTCATCTAAGGCCAGTGGTCTATGCTATATTAAAAAGCCACCCTCCTTACCTTATCTCTTCTTTATATAAAAAATATTTTATACAAACATATTTATTTCTTATAACCTCAGAAATAGATGCACCAACGGCTATTTGTTCTCTCCTTTTGATGATTTTGATTTTTCTAATCATTATAGATTATAAATTTTAAATATAAAGTGTAATCAAAATAAATGAAAAACATAATTAAAAAACCTCAGCTATGATCTTGTTGTTTTGGAATTTTTTATAGCATCCAATTCAATTAATTAATTGGAAAAATAATAACAGCAATAGAAATTTAATAACTAAAAGTTATGATTAATTTCCACATGAATGAAACAAAAAGTCTCACCAAATTGAAACAAGAGCTAATTTTTTTCGCTATGATGAAAATTGAGTTGAGTAAAAAAGTTGGATATCCGATTGTCCCTTAAACAAAGTCTCAACTTTGTATTAAATATTGGGTGATATATTATTAAAAATGAACTAATTTTCTTAAATAATTTATATAATATTTAGATCACAGTTCAAATAAAATTCAATTTTTGACATGGAATCGCATTTCACTGAAGCCACAATCCTCTCAATTCATGAGCTCATAAACCCAGAAAGAAAAAGGAAATAAAAAAAAGTTTCAGACGTTGCATTTTCATAAAATGAAAATTTAGGATTTTTTTTAAAGCCATTTTTTGACTCTATTTTTTTTTCTTTTCCTAAACTGAAACTACAATTTAAAAAAAAAAATCACACCTTAATTTATATTTTGTAGACTTGGTCCAACGTTCCAACACGTACATACTATCTTTATTTACCATAACTGTACTCCATAAAACGTCCCAAAAAAAAAAAAAAGAAAGCCTGACCCATCCTTTGTATGATTAATTCCTCACCCACCTTTGCTTCCGCTAAAGGCTAAACCCACTCATCAGATTTTCTTCAATTCTCAAACACACACACACAAAGAGAGAGAGAGATAGCAAGATAAACATGGAAGCTCTTCTCTCCCAATTCACCTTCCTCTCAGACCAAGCTTTACAAGACAGGAACTTTGATCCATCCACCATAGAAGACCTCATGAAGCTGTTTGAGATTGAGTCATACAAGGCCTGGGCAGCCATGGAGCTTGAGCAAGAGAAAGAGGAAGAAGAAGCAGAGGATGCTCTGCAGAAAGCTGAGGACTATCTTGACTCTGTCATGGAATCTGCCATGGATGAGTTCAGAAGCTTTGAACTTGAGCTTGAGAGATTGGAAAAATCTGAACTTGATAGCCTTGTTCACACTGCTGAGAGTGCCAGAAAAATGGGTAGGTTAATGGAAAAGGCTGCTTCTGTTGCTTCCAAAAGGTATATTGAAGCTGCTCTCAATTCTGCTACTGCTTCCATGAAATCTGCTTGGAAAGGACTATCTTCTGGCAAAGTTCATCCTTCTTAATTAGCCTGAAAATGTACTGATCAGAAGTGAAACCACAATAAATTATTGATTTATTTTCTGCTTTTATATATGCACACTCTAGAAATGTACTAAAGTTGTCACTATGAGCTTGAAGAACAAGTGAAAAATTTGAAGATTTAGTGTTCATGAAGCAGGAAAATTCATTTATTTTGGGTAGATCTGATATAAAGGCGTGGTATTTTACCCATGTTAGCTTTGAACACCATGTATTGAACTGGTTAAAGAACATCCTGGTTTGATTCTGGGTAGATCTGAAACATACCAAGGCTTCTAGGATTTCAAGAAGCTTACTTTTGAACATACTGTACTGATCTGATAGAACTTGAAGTGATGAAAAAGTAGGTTTAACTTGCCCTTCCCCTTTTTGATTTTCATAAATAGGTGTTTTTGCCTTTTTTTTTTTCCTCCGATGAAAATAATGTCTTCTTCCTTGGCCAAAATCATATAATTATAGTGAACATTTCATTCTGAACATTCAGGATTCAGCGAAAGATTGCAGATTCAGTGTACATGAAAGAAAATCCATTTATTTTGGGTAGGCCTGATGATGCATGGGCATTAAATTTTCAGGCAGCAAAATCTGAATTTTCTGGACTCAAGAAAAAAGTTTTTATAATTTCATTTTCTTTGCTCACTTCTTAATTTCATATTCTATTTGTTACAGATTACGACAATATTTTTGTTTAAGGATCTTGATTAACTTTTGTTATTCTTTGACATGATATTAAATCCTTAACATCTGGTTGAGAACTTTTACCTTGTGGGGTCTCTCTCTCTCTCTCTCTCTCTCTCTCTCTCTCTCTAAAATACAATATAAGCCTTTTTGGCATGCATAATGGATGCAAATTTGTCAGGGAAAATATTATATCAGGAAAGTTGCTTTCTACATGGGCCTGACAAGTGACAAGATTCAAGTATTTTTTTCTGACCAGGATAGCAGTAAATATCATATAATTATATCCAGAAAAAAAAAAACATTCATGATGATGGATTCCAGCAACATGTCCAATACATCTTTTATCTTATATATATATATATATATATATATATATATATAAAATAATAATAAAATTTTTTTAAAATGTATAAATGATAATTTAATTCCTCGAAATGACATAATTTTTTTGAAGTTTTTAGGAATTTTTCTGTCATTAATGAATTTATATAAATTATCAAATTACTCTTATTGAAAATAAATAATTCACAAGTTTTGTTTAAATATTCATAAATTTTCTTTTTATATTGGCAATAATACAACAGCAAATAATGAATTAACATGTGAAGTTGTGATTTGCTATTTCATTGTTGCGAATATAAGAAGGAAAGTTGTGAATATTTAAACAAAATTTGTAAATAATTTATTTTCAACAAGGGTAATTTGATAATTCATATAAATTTATTAATGATAGAAAAGTTCCTAGGGACTTCAAGGGAATTATTGCATTTTGAAGCACTAAATTATCATTTATTATCATTTATATCTTTTAAGGAGATTTTATTATCATTTTTCCTATATTTTTTTAATTACAAAACCACGATATAACCATGCAGAAGTGATAAAAATAATTCATGTAAAAAATCATAAGGTTTCTACAATCAGGCAATGGTTTATTAAGGATCCTAAAGTCTTGTCTTGAGAATGCTCTCATGCAAGCAAGTCGACACATTAGTTGGCTTCTCTATAAATATGGTTGAAGGTGATACCTAGTCCTTCATGGTGAGATTTCTAATATTCTTGATGATGTCAGAGAATGGGTGTCTTTTTGAGAAATTGTGCTCAATGAGTGATAAGGCTTCCATTAAATTAGAATAAACATTGACTTTATGAGGATTGGCATTCCAGAGATTGAAACCTTTGAGAATCCCTATGAGCTCAGTTGCCATGCTAGGATAATAGCCCAAGTGTTTGGAGAATGGGTACATCTTTTATATTTGAACCAAACAAATGCCACAGTCAAACAAGAATGAAAATGTCAAGAAGGTTTTCACAAAATTAATTGATTGCCATGTTGGAGGCATTATGTGCCACTTAACCATTGTCCTGATCAATAACTATAAAGACATAAATATGATCTCATGTTTGTTGTGGCCAAGGCAATACCAACAGCGAAGTAGTAGAGCATTGAAAAATATCCTTAAAAGGAAAGAGTGAAAGATAGCTAAGCAAACACAAAAATACTTGATGGAGATTTAAGTAGTGTGAATAATTAAGTCATACATTAAGAGGAATGGAATGTTAAATGGGGTGGTTTTTTTTTATAAAATTAAATGAATTAATAAATTGATGGAGATTTAAGTAGTATGGATAATCAAGTCCTATACTAAGTGGTATGTAATGTTAAAGGGGGTGTTTAAGAGGGTTATTTTATCAAACCTAACAGTTGTTTTTTTAGAAAGGTTCCTTATTCCAACATGTCTCATTAAAATAAAAAAACCTCAAAAATCATTAATTTTTGTTTAGCAAAAAAGGGGGTGTCGCAAGGAGTGCCAGAGAAGTGAGGCCTCAAAAAGATGAAAGAACCTGACTTCCAATGAAATGCAAAAAATAAGAACTCTCTTACCGCAGTTTACCCAGATCCAAGAATGTGAAGTGAAGAAAATTAATGTAAATGCAAGAAAGTAGAGATACATTAATTAAAGAAAGAGGTGGCAGGCTATACCGGCCATACAATAGAAAAGTAAAAATTAAAACTACATGATAACAGGAAAAATAAAGCAATAGAAGTAGAGTCTAGGAATTTGTCCGATAGTTTATTGATAATAATAATGCTCCTTTAATGAGAAAGGGCTCTTTTATTTATAGATGATCTCAGCTTAGTGCCCAAGCCCCCATTGTCGCCACTTTTTTTGAATTTAATAAGCACTTCCTCCATCATGGCCAAACTATTTTTCCTACTTTCATAATTTAAGCATCATGGGTGGAGTGTGGAGATAACAGCCTAGACTTAATTTTAACTTAGTGGCTAAGGCTTCATGAATATTCATTTTTTATTATTTTAAAGTCAATTAAGTTGAGTTGAGTCTGGGCCTTTAAATTCACAATTTGGGTGCAAATAATACTCCTCGCATACAAATTAGCTGAAACCTTTATAGGCCAATTTTCTATGGATATTTCTATTGGCCCACTTCCAATTGCATGAGTAGTAAATCTTATAGGACCATCTTGTTCCTATTCTGATTAATGATTGATCTAGTATTTTCCTTGGAGGACATTATTGTGGTTGAGGATTAGGGGCAACATGATCTAGCTTAAGATCAAGTTTCTCAAGGTTTGGGATCTTAAGGGCTGGTTTTGTAAAAGCTAGTTGCTGCGAGGCTTGACCTTGAAGAGAAAGCTCTTGTAGAGAGGGCATTTATAGAGCTCGCCCCTTTACTTTGGCCCATGTGGCTCCAGCCCCTATCGAGTTAGCCCTTATGGGATTGACAGTGTAGGATTCAGTCTTTGTGGACATGGCCTTGGTGGGATTGGCGACTTAGGATCCAGTCTCTTAAAATATGACTCCTTCATATCAAAGCCGTTTGAGTTTGATAGATTAGGGGTCGTAGGAAATGACAGTTCAGGTACTAGGGCTGCAGTAAATGACATCCTGGACTTAATGAATATGATATGCCAGGCCCCATGGTTTCAGAAATTGATAGTCTAGGTATTAGGGTTGTAAAAATTCTTAGCCCAAGACCTTGCTTATCTCTTTTTTAGGGCCCTTGGATGTTGCTCCCTAAGTTTTTTTTGTAGAATTTCAAGTTTCTTCCCATATTTAAGGTAAAGTTGTCCACTTCTCCTTGGCCTAAAAATTGGTCTGAAGAGACACCTTGGAGATGGAGTCCTCTTGGTAAACTTATATAGATTGGTCTTGAGCTTTTCAATAGTGACTTGACTTATAGGTCCGACTCTAGCCTTGAGATCTCTTGGCATTTCTTTAAGAGACTTGTTGAGAGCATTGGCTAAGTGGTGCCACTTTTGAAGAGCTTCATGAAAAATATCTTGGTAGTGTCGTCGTTCTTCCTTACAATGTCTTATCCTTTGTCCTACTTGGTAGCCAAACGGGCTTGCCATTAAGTTAGACATGCCATTGCTCCTTTGAGGAATGTTAAAGTAGTCTTCATTGTTGATCTTGTGGTCGAAAGGCACGTTAGGAGATTGGCCCTTGTGTTCATCTATTCTCTGAATGTGTGAGTCAATTGTAGCTTGCTCTTACGACGGTCTAGACAGGATAGCTGTAACATCCCAGTTTTTAATTCCATGATTGGCTAAACTAATTAAGGTAATTAAGTAAGTTGATATGGTGTGTGGTTAAGGAGGTCTAATAAGCATATTTGATTGTATTTCAGCCTAAATTACCGGTTCGATATCAAGTCAAGCCACTCGGGCATCAAAAGGAGAAGAAAAATGGAAAGCGATGTTGTTGTGCCACAAGCTGTGGTGTGGAGATCATCCGCCGCGATGCACAGACACTTTTAATATGAGGGAAGACCTCTTTGTGCTATACGTCGCGGTGTATTGTGCGTCTGTCATGGTGCATGATCATTTTTTATAGATATCAATAAAAAAAGAGAGAATAGAAAAGAGAAAATGGAAAGACGCACCAAGCTCTACTAAGGTTTACTTGTGTACAATATTTGGAGTATTTTGGAGGCTATAAACACTCAAGATAAGTATCATACTTATTAATCTTCCTATTTCTTCCATATTTATGAGTTTATAGTTAAGGTTTGATTGTGGAAGATGATTTTCGATCTATATAGGTTATAGGTCTAAATTTATTAACTCAAATGAAGTTAATGGAAGTAAATTAGAGTATCTAAATCTAGTATAATAAATTTTTAGTGTCTTGAGTTTTTGGGCACCATTAATGTCCAAAATTTGCAATTAATATGGGTGGTTGGAAAAATGTGATGCCATTAATGGGAGTTTAATAGCTCATTAATGTTATTAGGACTAAAGATAGATAATAAATCTAATGGATAGGCTCAAACTCTTGTAGAGTGAACTTTAGACAACTTAAAAGTGGAGATTGAGGGTTTAATGCTTGAATTAGTAATGTTGATGAAATTTAACTTGATTGATTGTAGTTTTAGCTCTTAGTTACCTATTGGATTGAAACTTCAAGCTTGGAAGCTAGTAGATTAAGGGGTAAACCTTTGATCACTCAAAGGTTTGAGGTAACTGGAAGAACCCTACTTTGGGTAGTTATATGTTAATTAATTGAAAATTGATTTCTAATTGTAAATTGTGAATGTTGCATGCATGAATTGAATTTCAATGTGAAATCATGTATTATCTTCAATAAGTGCATGAGAATTTGAAGGTGTATAATGTTATTTTAGGCTTGAAATGCAAAATGTGAAATTAAAATGGTTTTGAACTATGAACATGCATATGTCTTTAGAAAGGTGAATGTGTTGTTTTATTGAGCTAAATGTGTGTTAATGAAGAAATAGATTAGTATGATAAGTGAGAAGAATGTAATAAAATGTTATTGGATACTCAATTGGGCAGCGTATGATTGTGAACCCAACGTGTCATTGTGATAAACAATAAATGAAAGTATGAAAAGAGTAAGCATTGTTTATGACATGATCAGTGGGCAAGAGTTCGCCTAAGGATTTGAGAGTAGAGAAAATTTATATGGTATTTAAGTTGCACTCTAGTGCACAGGTTTAGCTTTGTCCCACAGTTTGTCGAGAGACTGTCGTATAATTTGTAAGAGATTAGAACCTAGCTATCTCTACTATTTTAATGAGGAGAATAGCCTAGGGTATGAGACATCCTAGAGATTTGAGAATGGGAGAAATTGTAATCCGAGAGTGAGTCATGTAATCTTTAGCCAGGTCGCACCTCACGATTGGTGAGCTTGGATAGTCCAATCACACGGATGGAGCCCTAATCAGTGTTATAGCTCACATTTTTTGTCTGAGTAAATTAGGAGGATATAATGTTAGTTGATCATTGCCCATACAAACATATAACATGTCACATGTGTTGAGTTGTGGCAAGTTGTGTGAATAAGGGGTCTTGTCACATATTTGAGAATATGGTGATAATGCACCTAGTATATGTAAGATAAAGAAGTTATTAAATGAAAAATGATGAATTATGATATGTGTGAGTATGTTTTAAGTACTTGGTTTTATATGCATGTGCTTGTTTTATAATTGATATATAATTACATAAGGTAGGTTTTACCTTGGTTACTGAGTAACTAGACTCATCCCTTTCATTTAACACTTTTCAGGCTCTAGCTTTAATGCAAAGAGAGAAAAGGCTAAAAAGGTTAGGAATTAGCATATTCTTTTTGTATGCCTTTAGTTTAGATTCATTTTGTGTAATAGTATATGTTTGTCAATTATAGGTTGCATGCCATCTCACTTGCACTATTTTGTTACTGCAAATGACTAATTTGTATTTTAAGCCCTGAGTATTTGTGTATGTTGAGATATATATATATATATATATATATGTTTCTAGGGCTAAAGTATTAGTGCAAGTGCAAAAAAAATGATTTGAACATGTTTTGATTGATTTGAATGTATTACAATGACAAATTACCTCCCCTTCTGTTTTTGATAAAAAGGGGTTAAGGAGTGAATTTTGGTTGTATTGTGGTTTAAGCATGTGTGACGTGTTGTACTGGTAGTCCTGAGTTCAATAGACATGGTCCAAGTATTAGGAAAGGCTTTTCGCACTTGTTGAGGGTTTTGGACACCTTTTTTTATATGAAAGTTGTGAAAAGTGGTTAAAATGTGTTTAGGTGTCCAACTTCCTGGTGTGACTTATTTTGAAAGTAAAATCTATGCTACTAGTTAGTTCATGTTAAGAGTTTTTCATAGATACCTAGATCATATCATTTGAACGTTGGATGGAGAATCGAGGCGCGTCGAAAGTTCCCTAATTCTGCTATCATTTGACAGTAGAATTAACTGAATTTTCATGCAACACGCTGCGACGTAGCGTGCATAAGCCGCAGCGCATTGCCCTGTCACACATTTAAAGAATTGTTTTTCATTTGTTTTTCGATTTCTTTTACTTTTCTGAAGTATCCCATGCTTTCATAACTTATTTTTACTCTAATACAAGAGAATTTTGATCGTTTTAAACTCTTTATGATTATAAAAAACTTGAGATTCCTTACTTTTGAATTAAACGTTGGTAATTACTTTTGAGTTAATCTTTTGATTACCATGAGTTTTATTGATTAATTGTGTTAGTGGAGTGAGATTTTATAATAGCAAAGATATTCCTTAACTCGTCCTTCAGAGTTTGTAACAGAGCTCTTTGCCTCTCGTCAGCTTGGCATTCCAACTTTTCCCAAGCTTTAGCTCGCTTTTATTGCTTTTTAGATGTTTTTTCTCGAGTTCCTCTACTAGAACTTGTGAGGTTGTTGCTTGCTTATCGATACAGTCTTGTATCATGGTCAAAGACAAAGCTATAACATTATTAGACACTATAATAGGAGGTTTACCTGAAAAAGAGGATTTGAGACTTTCATCCTGATTGAGTCGATGAGGCATTCCTTGAGGAGGTGTTGCTTGTCACCTCATTGTCACTAGAGTGCGAGAGGCCCGTACTTTATGTTCTACATGCGCAAGTGCATTCTTTGAGTCGTAAGACTTAGGTCCATTCTTTCCAACAACATATTAATCCTCACATGTTCTAGGCATTTTGTTCACATATATCCCATCGTGCATGCTGAAAGTTGTTTGGCAAAAAAAAAAAGGGTGCAGCAAGGCGTGCCAAAGACACGGGATCTCAAAAGGATAGAAGCACCTGACTTATAATTAAACGTGGGGAACTTGAGCTCCCTTACCATAATTCACTCGGATGTAAGAATGCAAAACAATAAAAATTAATGTAGATACAAAAAAGCAAAGATACATTAATTAAAGAAAGAGGCGGTGGCCTATGTTGGCCATATAATAGAAAAGTAAAGATTAAAATTACATTATAAAAGGAAAAAATAAAACAACAGATGTGCAGTTTGGGAATTCGACTGGTAGTTTGTTGTTGATGATGATCCTCCTTTGATGAAAAAAGGCTTCTCTATTTATAGATAATCTTAACTTGGTGTCTAAGCCTTATAATCGCTACTTTTCTTAAATTTAGGAACTACTTCCTCCATTGTGACCACTTTCTCTACTTCCATAATTCAAGCATTATGAGTAGAGTGTGAAAATAATAGCCTAGACCCGATCTTAAATTAGCAACTACGACTTCACAAATATTTATTTTTAATTATTTTAAGGTCAATTGAGTTGAGTTGAGTTTAGGCCTTCAAATTCACAATTGGATGCAAACAATTTTGTATAAAAATTTATCAAATTTCCAACTTTACTCCTATTTTATAAAAGAATGAGAGAAAAACCTCAAAATTTTCAATAATGTACACCAACATCTAATAAGGAGGAAAAACATGAAACTTGTGATGATAAATTAATTATATATTTTTCAAATAAGACCAAAAAAATTCATTTCTCTTTACCTTTGTAAATGGTACTAGAGAGAATATATATATATATATGTGTGTGTGTGTGTGTGTGTGTGTGTGTGTGTGTGTGTGTGTGTGTGTGTGTGTGTGTGTGTGTGTGTGTGTGTGTGTGTGTGTGTGTGTGTGTGTGTGTGTCAATGTTTTTAAAATTGGATTGGATATTGAACCGGAAAGGTCAACGATTCATGATTCACATAGTTCAACCCACGTTGAACCAATGATCAAACTGGTGACCTAATAATTAAATTTAAAAAAATTATATATGTATATAATAATTTACATATAAGAAATAAATATGAAATTGCTATTTAACTTAAAAATAAAATTAAATATTTTAAATTTATCATGACTTAATAAATCGCATAATACAACATAATATCAAATGATTAAAAAATTAATCATTTTCTAAAAAGAAAAATTGATAATTTTTTTAAAAAGAAAAAGGGCATTGTTTTAATAGTTCAATTTTTAAAAACTGAATCTGGTTCTAGGCTTGATTTTGGTTTCTAGTCTGACCACATGTCCAAAGAGGCCTAACTCCCCAAACAATTTTTGCAGGTTGATCGAGCTGTTAGCCTGACTGATCGACAGTCCAACTACATTCGGTCTAGTTTTTTTAATTATTGATATATATGTATATATATATATATATGGGAGCACATTTGGTGTTCATCAGGGGTGATAAGCACCACCTCTGAACCAATCTGGACTATTCAGGTTAAACTACTTTTTATTTTTTATTTTTAAACAAAAATTTATAATATTTTAAATAAATATATTTATTATTAAAATGTACGTTCATATTTAATCAATTAGTCTAAATTTAATATTAATTTTTTATAATTTTCATAAATTGATCATATAGATTTATTGTGTACTGTTCAGATTTAAAATTTTTAACTTGTTATATTATTATATTCAAAACAACTCAGAGTAAATATGTATCTTCAATTTATAAAAACTATAAAAAATTAATATTAAATTTAGACTGATTTAATTAAATATGGATGGTACATGTTTAATAATAAATATATTTATTTAAATTTTTATAAATTTTTATTTAAAAAAATAAAAATAATAAAAAAGTAGTTTAATCTGAATTATTTAAATTAAATCTAGACGCTCTAAATTGGTTCGGTGCACATCACCAGGCGGGCGTGAAGAGTACATGGAATACTGCACTAGAATGCTTTATTAGGACGAACAGGGTTTCCTCCCCACATTACATCTATTTAAAGATTGAGTCACATTATTTATATAAACAGTATGGGTTGCTAAAAACATTAAATATTACATATCAATCTCTCACAATCTCCACAACATCACTGATTAAACAAAACCTTAAAAATTATATATACAAAGTCATAAACTCAATTTGTTCGAGCGTCCTTTCTGCGTTGTTGCGTCAGATTCAATACTATTCGTCTTCTGCTTCTTATTTTCTGAATTCTCAATGTTGTTATACTCAATCTCCGATTTGTTCGGCGATAAATGGCCAAGAGGCTTGATTCCCTCCAGCTCAGGGTCAGGTGAGAAGTTAAACGGTAATTTACTATCATCCACCCTCCTAAATGTAATTGAAATCCTGGAAAAAAAAAAAAAGAGTCTCAGCATACAATACAAAATAATATAATAATAATAATATATTGAGAGTTCCTGAAATATACCCTATTACAAAAGATAGGTAAACCAAGGCAAATATGATTTACTTTTTTACATACTATTTTATGACATGGCCTGCTCTACCCAACTTTTACAAGCCAGTTTATCTAAGAATTTTTTAGAGACTTGTATATGTTTTGAAAAATTCACATTACCTTTTGGTTCGGACAGATGGGACACAATGTTTAGCAATGTCAGCTCCATTGTCATTAAAAATGAACACTGATCTGCATTATTGAAATGAGCATTAGAGTCTCTAAATGTTAAAAAAGAATTGACTAAAAAGCATGATTTATACAACTCTACTTTTAATATGACACAAGAATATGAAGGTTTTAACTTGTTCAAATCAAGCTAACATGTTCCAATCCAAGAATGCCAAATTTCATTCCAAAGATTTCGACAAAGAAAGAGCATTGGATGAGAAAGGAGGAAGAGAAATTTTAGTTTGACCAACAAATCATGGATGGCTTTGTGAGGATGTCAATAGGTCCCACTGAATTGAAATGCTCATGAGTCCATCTATCTGGATTTTTCTCAAGTTTTGTTCAAAGAAGACAAGCTTACCCCATTGGCAAATTGATGGGAGCGGGCCCTACGAACTCCCCAGGACTGATAACTTTCAAATTTGAACCAAATAATATGTCACACTCAGATAATAATGAAACCGTAGAAAAAGGTCGCATAAAATCATGGTGATCGATATGAGGAGGAATGCAATCGCCTTCATCGTATATGTTGACCACGCAACTATTAGGGATGCATGTTGGAGGCAGTATGTTCCACCTAACCATCCTCTTGATCATTTTCTTGAACAAATTTGGTAATGGATCAGCCTCCTCATCTCTTAGAATGCCAGGAAGATTGCCACGTCTGTCCTGCGAAGATTTAACATGCCAAAAGGTCAACAGAAAAAAAATTCATACCAAAGATTTAAGGAGAGAGGGGAAACAAATTTAAACTTACTACTGCATAATTGTAGCAGCAGCCAAATTGTATCGTTACTCGCCCTTTGCCACGCATCCACTTTCTAGGTTCTGAATATGTACGTTCTAAAAATAGAAAAACCAAAATAATCAAGTGTGAGAACAAAATCTTCTGAAACTTAAAACACAGAAAAAAATACAATAAAATAGAAGAGCCTTCGTATTACTAGCTTAGGAAGTCAATGATGTGCGATAAGGGGCAAAAAACAAGCTAGTTTAAATGTTTTATGATGATTTTCATTAAAGATGGTGACTCAACTTTTCCAGGTTAACTCAAAATACCAACCACCAAGTATCCGCAAGAAAGAAAAACCAATGCTATTGATATTATTGAACAGGAGATAAACCCCTCCCTAATTATTCTCATACGCTGTGTGTCTATAATCAGTGTCAACTCTAAGTGGAAGACAAACAGTTTACTGCATGTAATGAAGCATGACTAGTCTATAGACAAGGCTATGCAAGTTATTTCAAAATAAGTTCTAAAGATGTGCCAAGAGTAGCCATGAGCATAAGGGGGGAAAGCAACAAAGACTAGAAATACAGAAAAAGTACAGTTCAGAGCATATGAATTATTTAAATGATGAATCATTGAATCAAATAACTAAAATAGAAAGGGAGAAGTTCAATACATATATATACCTCTAAAGTGCCCATTTCGACCCATTTTTTGCAACTTATGGACATACTTGACAATATTCCTTTGCTCATCAGCATTGAATACCTGAGTATGAAGTTCAAGCCCCTGAAGAACATTCATGTCTCTCCCATCAATTCTTTCAATACAAACAAAGTCCTTTTTGCTACCAACCAGTGAGCGCCTAATATGCACCTTTTGTTCCTCAGACAATCCATGTTCAAACAATGAGGCCCCACCGATTCCATCACTTAGCAGCAAGTCAAAATGAGATGGTGCTAAATATTGTCGTTTGTGATTCAAATATTTTGGTGGAGAATCAGAAGCATGTCTATCATTATGCTTCCTCAACCAAGGAATTTCATGCCTCTGGCCATAGTTTCTTGCACCATCCTCTTCTTCTCTATACCTTCTAGTGTGAAATACCGAAGCATTACCATTTCTGGACTGGTGATATGCATCTCTAGAAGATGCATAGTCATCATTATCAGCACAAGACATTTCATAGTGCTTTCCTGCATTCAAAAGAAGCACCGAATAAATATATTATATAAACATAAAATAAAAAAATACTCCACTATTCATTTTAATAACTGTCAATTTTTAATCAATTTTAAACTCTATTGTTTTTCATAAAAATTCTAAATCCCCATGTAAATGCACAGAGATGAAGCTAGTTTATCAATAGAAAGATTACAGTAATGCAGTACCATTCCTAGACTTGTTGGATGCATCTGTAGGGGATACATAATAACCATCTTCATCTTCAGCATAAGGGGTTTCATAGTACCTTCCTGCATTTAGAAGAAAAGCAAAATAAATATATATTATATAAACATAGAATGAAAAATACTTCACTATTCACTCCTGTAACTATCAATTTGTTTTTTCTTTCCAATCAATTAATTTGTTTATCTTAAACTTAGTATTATTCCTCATAAAAATTCTAAATCCCCATGTAAATGCACAGGGTTGAAGCTAGTTTATATATCAATAAAAAGATAACAAATAATTACCATCCCTGGATGTAGATCTAGAAGATATATAGTAATCATCATCCGCAGAAGCAGCATGTGGGGTTTCATAGTTGTTTCCTGACGTTAAAACAAAATTTGAAATTTATGAACAAATTTAAAGATAACAGGTAATGCTTGTGCCTGAGATTATTTTAAATAAAATTTAGAATTAAGTGATTTTATAAGATTAATGCACAAAAAAATTACAAATAGGAAAAAAAATACAGAGCTAACATAACCTACGAGATTGAAAAAGCATAAAGCCAGAAACTTAAGCCAGTGAACCAGAATGGAAAAGTCCAGGAGTAACAGAAAGAGTGAAATAACAATTACAAGAACAAAAGTTCATAAGAAGAAAACAACAAAACCCATCACAACGATTCATTAAAAAAAAACAAAAAACAGAGCTAAGGGAAAAGAGACGTTCAATTACTTTTACGGAGATTTGAGATTCGTTCATGAAGACGAGCCTCACAATGGTGGCAGACGATATCAGAGAGAATCTGCAATATCTGCTCCTTATTCAATGACTCCAGAAGCTCCATGCACCGCTGATTCTGTCGGAAAATTCCGTTCAGAGATCAAATTACCGGCAAGCCAAGGCAAAGTGATGGGAGTGATAGAGAACGAGTTGACTGACTTGACTTTGAACGCTGAAGCGAGACGCAAAGATGAGCATTAAGTAATAACTATAAGCAAAGCAATGTGAGAGAGAAAGAGAGCGTGAGAGATCAAAATAAAGACTCCATGGCCAGGCAGCGCAACGCAGCGCGAGGGCGAGAGAGAACGACTTTGGAGTTGACTGACTTCTGAACGATGAAGCGACGACCAAGGCAAGGATCTTTTTAACTTTTCTGACAGAAGGACCAAAGATAAGGATTAATTATCTGGAAAGGTTTCCCAATTTCGCGTTACTTTCCTACTACCAAATCAAACATGTTGTTATTTTTTTTACTTAAACAGAAACCAAAATTTTAAAATAAAGAACATTTTACCCGTAATCTCTTTTAGGAAAAAAAGATATTTTTTTTAGCCCCTCTATTTAATCTAAATTATAAAGACATCTTTTTTATTATAAAAACCTATATAGACCTATCTTAAAATTAAAAAATATATATTAGACAAATTTTTTTTTTCTAATTTTCAAATTTTAATTCCATTCATTCAAATATTAATTAACCATTAAATCATATTTTTTACCAAAATGCCCTCTCTTTAGCATAAATATTACTTAACAATCATTTAAACATTTATGTTTATCCAAAAATAATTTTAATATGCACATTTCACATTTTTGTATTTTTAAATTGATTAATTTTTATTATATTATAATGCTGATTAATTTTAAATTTTTAAATTTTTATTGTTCATGTTAAATATATACCGCAGCTAAAAAAGTCTGAGGCATGCACGTAAATAAATATTCAATTATTTTATAAAATTATAAAAATGCCATAATTCCGATTATTTGTTATTAATATCTTAATTTTAAAATTTAAAATTTTTAAATATATTTTATTATACATACGTGTATTTGTTAAAAAAATTATTCAAATTTTTTATCAAATTTTTATTTTTAAGTAAAAAATGATTAATTTTTATTTTAAAATTTACTAGAAATATTAAATAAATAACTAGTAAATATTAAATAAATTGTCGAAAGATAAATTAGAGATTTAGTATAATGAAGGGTAAATTAGTAAATAAGATTTATCCTAATATTATTATCAATAAAAATATATTTTTAGAATCTTTTTAGAATACTAGTTAACAGTGTTAATAATTTGAACTAAAGTATATGTTTTCAAAATAGAAGGGAGGTCGTGTAATTAATTATCTCTTCTGAGACTTTAGTGTCGTTACCTAAAAGCAATTTGTAGCCTCATTCCCCCCCCCCACCCCAAACTTTTGGGGTTGAGGGAAACAACATGAAGCTCTGTTTGGAATTAAACAGACCAGAAAATGAAGCAGTCTTAAGACAAATTTTATTCAGTTTGGGACACAAAACGAGCACATTGCAATCATCAACTATGCTTTCCACAAGGCAAAATTAAAAACAAGAAAGGAAACAAGTAATCATTGTAGTTATTGTTGTTTAATAGTCAAACTCAGGTATCTCAAGTGGATACAAATGGATCATATCAGACCAAGCATTTTTCACAGTTGGGTCAATATCAGAAACACATTCCCACACTGCACTGTTACACTTGAACCCACTTCCAAATGCTATTTGCCACACCCTATCTCCTTTCTTCACTCTTCCTTTTGCCTCCAAATAACACAGTTCGTACCAAATTGAAGAAGATGAAGTGTTCCCAAATCTGTACAATGCCATTCTAGAAGCTTCCCCATCTTCCTTTCTCAGCTTCAGACTCTCCTCTATTGCATCTATCACCCCTTTGCCCCCAGCATGTATGCAGAAATGCTCAAAGGACTTTCTGAAATTTGGCACATATGTTCCTTTCTGGTTGCTTCCCTGTTGGATTCTCCGGCGAATCGCGGACCACAAGAAGCGAATCTGCTCGGAGTAAGGCAGCACAAGAGGGCCCAAAGTTGTGATGTTTGTCCTCAGAGCCAGAGCAGCCACTTGCAGAAGTGTCCTTGATAAGGACACTCCCACATGTCCAGCCTCATCAGGCTCTTGATAAACACACTTGTAGGCATTATCATTAGATCCTAAATGAGTCCTCACAAGGTGCTTTAGCTCATACTTTGCCATTTTCTTGTCTTGTTTCCTGTTAGACAGTAAAATGGCTGCTCCTCCCATTCTGAACAGTACATTGGGAATCAGCTTGGATTTGGCAGTGCCTCTGTAACCATTTGGAGCTACAACCTCCATACTTAGAACTAAAGCTAAAGAATTCTTGTGAACTCTGAGAAGATCTTTAGCTAAGCTTATTGATAACATGCCAGCACTGCATCCCATTCCACTGAGGCTCACGCTCTTTATGTTGCTTCTGAGACCAAACTTGTTGATGATCATGGAAGTTAAGGACGGGGTGGGACAGAAGAGGCTACAATTTGATACTAGGATGTCTATGTTCTTAGGGTGGACCTTGTGTTTGGTAAGAAGGTCTTGGACAATGGTGAAGAGGACCAATTCAATCTCTTCTTGGGCATGCTTGAGTGAGTCAGTAGGTGGGATCTCATGAACTGAATCAGGCATGCAAGCTTCAGGTCCAATCCCAGATCTTTCAAAAACTTTGGACTCAAAATCAATGGCTTCTCTGGAGAAGTCACAGATCTCAGAGTGTTCTATGAAGTTGGAGGGAGGGATTCTAAGGTTGTTTGGAGGCAGAAAGCAGACAAAGTCAAGAAGGTACACATTTCTAGACCATAACCTCAGACAACACAGTACTATGATAAGGACAAACATGGCTGGTAAGGTTAGTGTCAGAGAAACTGAGCCTTGAAGCAGAGCAGATAGGTTTGAGGAAAGAGATGAAAATTCAGAAAGAAGAGCATCCATTCTGAGGTTGTTTGGACATTGGCGGGGTGATGATGACTTAATATTGGTTTAGTGAAACAAACAAAGGAAAGAGAGAAGTTTCAAAATGCAACTATGTGATATATTTGGTGTGAAAATCTGCAGGTAGAAGCAGTATTGTGTTGGGAAAAAATAGTTTTGGTCACAGAGTTTGCATGATAAAACCATATTAACTTGTATTTAGCTGTTTGGATATATAGGTGATTTTTTATTTTTTTTGGGGAGTAGAATAACATCAAATGAGGCTCTGAAAAATGTGCAGGGGGGAGGCTAAATTGGGCCAACTTTAGACCAATGTCCAACTTTCAGATATTGGACTCGGTGGTTAAAAAAAAAACAAAAGAAATTAGCCTAAGGGGTTGGGATAGTAGTTTAGATGAAAATTTCAATTTATTAAAGAAATACAAATTTAATTTAAGTAATAAAATATTATACACGATTATTTTTTGGGCGGACAAATTATAAAAAATTATTTACATTTTAAATTAAATTATTCAACTAGCATTTTACTGTTATATACATTTTTTATTATAAATGTAAATTTTATATACAGACATAAAGACGTTGAATATTTTAGTTATTTAACATATATATACGCATGCAAGAATCAAGAGTCATAGTCTTCTTAAAAGCAATTTAAATGATTTTTATGTTTATATTATTATAAAATATTAAATAAGCTATGATATTTTTTGCCAGCATCAAAGAAACTATGATAAATCATAGAATGTATATACACTTCAGTCTTACTTTACCAAGGGAAACTATTACCAAAGGACCACGGAGGTATATTATATCAAAAAAGAACATTAAGATTCTGATTTTTCAATGCATCCCCTTGGTCCTTAACTAAAAAAAATTTTGTATGAGAAATGAATGAATTATTGTTAAAATTTAAAATAACAAGTATTCATCCTATATAAACAATAAGTTATTTAAATTTTGATAACAATTAATTCATGATTAATAACAATACATTTGAAATTTAACAAAATTAAAAAATTGACAGCACATGTTTTATGGAATAAATGTTCACTCTGCATAAATAATAAGTCATTCGAGTCTTGACAATAATCAATTTATAATTAATAACAACACATTCAAACTTTAATAAAATTAAAAATTAATAGCATATGTTTTAATGGAACAAATGCTCACATCGCCTGAAACAATAAGACATCGAGTTTTAATAGGAACCAATTCATTATTAACAACATTACATTTGAATTTTAATAAGATTAAAAAACTGACCACACAGGTTTAATGGAAAAATGTTCATCCTGCATAAATGACAAATTATTTGAGTCTTGACAATAATCAATTTGTGATTGACAACAGCATATTCGAATGTTAACAACCAACTCATGTTTAGTTGTTTTTCTTTCATTAAGAAGGGCAATTAAGTCATTTCTCATCAAAATTTATTTTCAACTAATAATCAAAGAAGGTGCAATGAAAAATCAGATTCTTAAAGTCATTTTTTTGATATAAAATACTTACAGTGGTCGTCAAGTCATATTTTCCCCATTATTAAATACTTTTAAATATTCTATAGTTTATATTAATGAGAATAGATAACCATAAGAGTTATATTATTGTTGAATTTTTTTTTTTTGAGGAGAATGAGAGATAGATTTTAAGGGGATCAATTAATTCAAATTAAGTTTCAAGTATTAAACTTTAGGAATTTAGAAGTTTTTCTCTCAATTTTATAACTTTATTGTGATGAATTTACAACTTGTATTCTAAAATTTAACAAAAAATAAATTTATTTTTAATTATGTTAAAATTTAAAAAATAAGTTACAAATTCATCACAATAAAATTATAAAATTAAGAGTTGAACTTATAAATTTATGAAATTTAACACTTAAAATTGAATTTGAATTAATTAATCTCTTGGGATATATCTATCATTCTTCCTTTTTTTTACCTTTGACCTAAAAAAATTATTGAAAAAATTATATTAAAATTCCATATAAAAAATTATTTATTATAAAATTTATTAATAATTAAAGTAAATGCTGCTAATAATACTTAAGTGCTTTTACTTAATTGTCAACAAACCTTGGTAATTAAATTTTTGTACATGGGACCTGAATATAATTCTTTTAAAATTATTTTGTTTGCCGCTCCCAAGTCCAAGGACCTGTTTGGTTGTTCTCAAGGTCTTTAGTTACTCAGTGGTCACTCAGAATATTCCGTTTAGCCTATCTGATCAGCAAAATCCGAGTCTTCAGTCTTCACAGTACTCTTCGCAATCAATCCATCGTCATCGTCTCTTCCACAATCCATGGGAACTCCATACCCGAACCTCATCAATCCGACTCAGACCCGAATTGGGTGGATAGGCATCGGCGTTATGGGTGCTGCGATGGCCTCTCGCCTTCTCTCCGCCGGCTACTCCGTCACCGTCTACGCTCGCACACCATCCAAGGCTCTTCCTCTGCAATCTCTAGGCGCCCGTGTCGCCGATTCTCCGGCTGAAGTCGCTCGGTCCAGCGACGTCGTATTCACCATGGTAGGTCACCCATCCGATGTTCGATCAGTCGTCTTACAAGACCCTAAGTCAGTTCTCTCCGGTCTAACCCCTAACTCCGTCACTGTTGACATGACCAGCAGCCACCCTGATCTCGCCAGAGAGATTTTCGCCTTAGCACGTGAGAAAAATTGTTGGTCCGTGGATGCGCCAGTCTCTGGAGGCGATATAGGTGCGAGAGATGGAAAAGTAGCCATATTTGCTGCTGGAGAACAAGATGTAGTGAATTGGTTAGAACCCTTGTTTCGGATTCTAGGGAAGGCTACATATGTGGGTCAGGCAGGGTGTGGACAGAGCTGCAAAATAGCGAATCAGATTACTATTGGGGCTAATCTGATTGGTTTGAGTGAAGGTCTGGTGTTTGCAGAACGGGCAGGGTTGAATTTGAAGCAGTTTGTGGAAGCAATTAAAAGAGGGTCTGCTTACACCAAGGCGTTGGAGTTATATGGAGAGAGGATGATTGAGAAGGACTTCAAGCCTGGTGGGTTTGCTGAGTATATGGTGAAGGATTTGGGAATGGGGTTGGATATTGTGGAGAAGGGTGAGGATGATAAAGTTGTGGTTTTGCCTGAAGCTTCATTGTGCAAGCAACTATTCTCCAGTATGGTAGCTAATGGAGATGGAAAGCTTGGTGGTCAAGGGCTTATCTCTGTTATTCAGAGAATCAATGGGAAATGAGTTACTAATTCCTCAATACTTTGAATGATGGATATCAGCATCTTGCAGGTTAAATTCTTACTTGTAGGATTGTATTTTTGCAATGGGAACTTTTAACATTGTGTGGTCTCTTAAGAATTTCATATCAGGTTATATCTGCAGGTTTGCCTTACAAAATAGATTGGCTCTAAAGCAGCTGTCATATGAGCTTGTACACGAAAAGCATGAATGTTGTATCATTTGATTGGACAAATCTTGATACGCATTGAAGAACATGTATGCATATTATGTTACGAGCTTCAGAAGAAGAGATCATCCATAAAAAACTAGCTTATTCAGAGGGAGAGCTTCTCATACTTATAAATCACACTTATCTTATGCGATTTTTTGTTGTAGGACTCATAACATATTGATGGTCTACTAAACAACAGCTCAATATGTGTTGGGTATTTAAAAAGTAAAGACATACTAATATGCACGCCCTGTTTTATTACAAAAACATTTGTATTTCTGGAGACAACTAGATCAAAATAGCAGCAGAGCGTAGTTTATAAAAGGACAGGAATCATGGCCATCATCTTTACTGCATAAGAATGGCAGTACCAAGTGTAATTTGGTTGGGACTTGTTTGAACTTTGAACCTTGGGCTTATTAATCTCTCAAGGTACCATTAGGGTAGGGTTCTTCGTAAGAAATGTAAAGAATCAAAGCATTTCACTAGCCAGTTTCAAGGTATGTGATTAAAGTCTATAATTGCTAGCTTGTAATTCTAATACAGGCTTCTGTTATTGCTCTCACTCCAAGGTTCAATAACTTCACATCATGCGGCCATGAAGTTTTCAAGTTGTGTGTCTGGGGTAGCTGTTTAAGCTGTACGTGCGTCTATTTTTTCCTCACCATCTTTTTAACTCGTAGCAATGCTCTTCCATAAGCTTGCATGAAGGGGGCATTATAGGAAGTGTCATAGCGAGGCTGACTTTTGGGTCATTAGCAAGTTTTTTTTTTTTTTTGGTTTTGTAATCTGAAAAATTTAAGGTGAATTAAGTCTCGAGACTTATCAAAGTTAAGGTATGCTTCTAACCTCAGTCTTTATGAAGGTATTTACAAATCATTCACTAACAAAATTCTCATAGTGACAGTGTGATTCGAACTCGCAAGAGTTGAGTTTATAGGTTAAATTTTATTGGCTAAACCAATTTTTGTTAGTATTAGTAAGTTTTCTATTACAGACTTTGGCCCTTCTTAATTTTAGGTCATAATAAAACTGTTTATGTTCTTAAGAGTGGTATTATTATTGGAGGGAGTTTTTTGATATAGCTATATTTAGTGTAATAATAAAACTCATCAATTCTCATTATTTTTAAATTTTTTAGATACAAAATTAGTTATCAATACTTTTGATCACTCTCGCAGGTATACGAGATTACAGTAATAAATTACCTGGAGTATTCCAGGTGTCGAACCCAAAGGGAAGTTACACTTTTACTAATTTAAATAATTAATAGTTTGAGAAAAATAGATAAAATGGATAATTTTGATAAAAATATAAGGAATAAAAATAAATCAAGAAAATAATGATGATAAAAACGCAATCACTTGAAGCGTTGAGATTTAAGATTTACCCTATACGTTGTTAGTTTCTACCCTTTGAGTTGACTCGAATCAATTATAGTGACAACTATTCTTAACGTGTCCTAATATTCTCCTGAATTATTAGTCCCTTTTTAATTAGTGTTGAATTCGTTTCCACGATACCCAAGCAACTAATTAAACTGTGAAATTATAGTTTAAGTCACCATAAATTTCTAAAACTATCCCTAACCTAGTTATTTATGTTTATTTCTTTAGATCTAGATCTTCTCTTTACCTCCCAGTCCATCAAGATTACCAATAAATTTGATTAAATGGTGGCCAATCATTAAATCAATATGAAGAATAAGAGAAATAAATATAATTGGGAAAAAGTAAAAATATTCATAAATATAAATGCAAAGAGTCAAAATAAAGGAAATAGAAAACTAGCTCTTCAATTGTGCTACATCCTTATTCCAACTGGGTAATTTAGAAACTCATAATAAAATCAAATAAACTCATTTTAAAATCTCCAATCATGAAAAATGATCATAGAGAAAATTAAGGAGTAGAAAAGAAATAATTATAATTTGTGAAACCTTTCAATGATCTCGCTTTTAGCCTTTAAAATACTTCTACGAGTTTTAAATATCTCAGAGAGAATTCTTGAGATACTTAGATTAGTGATTGGATGCCTTCCCTCTTGATGGAGGGAGTATTTATAGTTAAAGTGGATATGTATGTGTGTATGTATGTATGTGTGTGTGTGTGTATGTGTGTATGTCTGTGTGTGTGTGTGTGTGTGTGTGTGTGTGTGTATTTCTCTTTTCCTTTTTTCCTTCTATTTGGTTTATTCTTTTTCTCTACAAAATATAAAAATAAAAAGATATAGATAAAAAGATATAAGTGGATTTTATATTAAAATTTCTTTTTATCTTATAATTAAGTGATGAGGAAAAAATATATAAATATCAGTTAAATAGATATAAAATCTTAATAAATATAATCAAATTTAAACTAAAATCTATACCCATTTAATTATAAAATATGCACTTATCAACTTTACAATTGATTAGTTATAACATTTTACTCTAAGTAGATGCTGTGACTAATTCATTTAATTTACATTATGTTTTGTAACATAGTTAACATAATTTTGAAAAACTTATTTAGATAATAACAACCATCACAAATATGATTAATAATATTCTTTAAGCAATGCATGTATTTAGAAAAAAGATATTTTGATGTATTTGAAGTATTCATTTATCACATTTATCTTAATACTTTTAATCTTAAAATAAATCAAGAGCATTAATATCAAATATTCCTTAAAATTTAAGAAATTTTAAAAACTTTTCAATTGCCACTCATCCAAGGTTTCAAATGAAGTTAAAAAAAGAAGTGGTTTCATATGTAAAGATCAAACCGAGTCTCAATGGAATAAGTGAATAAATATACTCAGAAAAATAAGCTGTGGGGGCATAATTTATCTTAAAATAAATATTAATATTTTGTTAAAAATATAGATTTAATTATTTATTAATTTATATTAAAGGTATAATTTAATATAAACAATGCATAAACATAAAATTATAATAAAAAATTATCTTTATATAAAAACTTTTTATGTCTATTAGTTTTATGATTTTTATTTTTATTAAATCAAATCTATGTACCTCTTTTGTATAAGGACTTTTACAGATATAACATATGTTATAAGGTCAAATCAAATAAATAACCCAATATTATTATATTTTATATTATAGCCAATTTATTATATTTGTTAGTGACATCCTATTATATATTAATAATAAATTTTTTTGTAAATTTTTAAATTTTAATAATAAATTACTTATATATTAATAATAAACCTTTTGTATATCACGTAAACTGATTATACTTTTAAATTTTTAAAAATTTGGTCTATATTTTTTGGGCATAAGATTTTTTTTTGGGCTAGTAGACCAATTTATCCTTTTGTTGTATGGAAGAGAATTAATTTGTGATAAAATTTTCTATAAACAAATATTTTATTAAAGTATTACTCTTCCATTCTAAAACTATTCCTACTTAAGATATGGTACATAGATATGATTTTAAATTATAAAATTTTTAGTGAAATAAGTAAAAATTTTTAAGGAAGCAAGTGAATTTTTTTGAAATGATGGGGGGAATTAAAATTTTTTGAAGGGGACAACTAAAATGTTTTAAGGTCATTTTGTATAATTTTCTCTTGGTTTGTGAGGACAATTGGCCCCACTAGCCATAACGTGGCATGTCCCTGTCTAATATGAACAAAAAAAAAAAGTAATATGAAAGAGTTTTCAACTGCAAAGATTCTTTTTTTTTTAATTTTAATAAGGATAAAAATACAAAAAAGATACTCCTCCGGCTCCATGTATAAACAACATTTTAAAAAATTTATTTGATTCTACTTATAAATTATAGTGTAATTTTTTAAATAATATTTAAAAAATATTTTTAAAATTATCCTTCATACAAAAGAAAAAAGTAATATAATATGGGGATAACTAAAATGTTTTAAGGTCATTTTGTATAATTTTCTCTTGATTTGTGAGGACAATTGGCCCACTAGCCATAACGTGGCATGTCCCTGTCTAATATGAACCAAAAAAAAAAAAAAAGGAAGTAATATGAAAAGAGTTTTCAACTACAAATATTTTTTTTTTTTTTTAAATTTTAATAAGGATAAAAATACATAAAAGATACTCCTCCGGCTCCATTTATAAAGAATATTTTAAAAAATTTATTTGATCCTATTTATAAATTATAGTGTAATTTTTTAAATAATATTTAAAAGATATTTTTAAAATTATTTTTATAAAAGAGAAAAAGTAACATCATATTACTTTTTAAATTTATTATATAAAATATATTTAAAAATTTATATACTTTTATTTTTTAATTTTTTATATTAATATTAATGAGATTAATAAAAATAATTAATAAAGAGGATTGAATGAGTATATTACATACAGGAAGAATGTAAAGATATGTTTTGAAAAGTCACGATCAGGATGCTAGTGGGAGACTGGGAGTACCGAGATATCAAGACATAGTCACAAACGTATGGTTGGTACTTGGTGCTACTGTTGACCGCTTACAGCAAATCGTTGAAGATGCACGCCATGCAAAATGCAAATCACATAGCGTGGAACTTGGAACACGTTCATCATATTTGCTATGTGACGTGTGTCTCTGCATAACTACATGCTCAGTTGAGCCTGGACTTGGCTCTTATAAACTCAATTTTTATGAGCTCAAATTCATAAATAGATTGATCATTTTTAAAACGTGTTCTTATTTAAAAAGTTTAGAATCACGTTTGTAAGTTTTTTTTTTAAAAAAAAGAAAAGCAAATAAACATATTACTTCTTGAATTTTAGTTACAGCAATTAACATCATAGATCCTAAACTTATTTATTAAATAAATTATTCTATTAATTTTTAAAAATAATACAACTTGGTTGTTACTGTTAATAAAAATTAATTTTGATCATTAATTGGATAAAAAAAGATTTTAAAAAAATTACAAAAAGGACAATTTTTTTACTTTGCTGTAATTTTTGGGTCATTTGCTACTTAACTTTAATCATTCTCTCATCTAACTTAGTTATCTCCCCATTTGAAGTAATAATTGACTTCAAGAGCCTTAACTGTCATTTGCTAGTAAATTTTAGCCAATAACCTAATCCAAATAGTTATTTTCTAATCGAAAATAGTCATAAACCTACGTACCTTTGCAAAAATAAATAGTCATTTACTATTTAATTTTAGTCAATATCTAATGGAAATAGTCACTGCCCCATCTAAAATTAATCACTGACTTACGAGGCTCTATAAGTGAATGACTGGATCATATTATTGACAAAAATTGAATAGTAGATGATAACTAATTTTCTGCAAAAAAATTTTTTGTATTAAACAAGTGCAACAATCCCATGGTCAATGACCATAAATATAGAAATATGAAAGAATTACATATAAATCTTATATAAAAAAATTAATTATTTTGTTATTGAATTTTATAGTAACTAATTTTTGTGTGTGTGAGAGTTCAACATAATTCTCCTTAAAAATACTTCCTCTGTCTCTATATATAATTGTTTTTTAAAAACTTATTTTGTCCCTAAATATAAAGGGTGGTAATTAGGGTTGTCAATTAAGGTCAAGCCTATCGGGTTAGCCCTTTTAAGCCCAAAAATAACTAAGGCTAGGCCATTATTTTGAAAGAAAAAATGGTAATTCGAGCATACAAGGGCCGGCCCTTTTAAGCCTTTTTATTATTTTTTTAAAAAAATTATAATATAAAAAATAAAAGATTAAATATATAACTCAAAGAAATGAATATATTAAATACATTCATCCATCTCTCATTCATTTATTAAAATTTAATTGATAATATTAGCTAAATTTAATTTTTATTGGTATTAACTTTGATGTTATTATTTGATATTAGACCTAAATGTTTTAGTTTTCTTTATTATTGTAGTGTAAATTAATTTAAATTTATTTTTTTTAACTTAATTTTATGTATAATAACTTTTTTATGATTAAAAATATATTTTTTATAATTTTAAATTAAAAAAATTTAAAAAAATAGGGCTGAGGCCCTGAGGGCCGGCCTTTAACTTTGAGGGTTAAAACCGAGTCTTATAAAAGAAAACCCTAACATATAATCGAGCTTATTAGGGCCAGTCTGTTTAGGTCTTAGCCCTTCAAGAGCCGGCCCTTTAAGGTCGGGCTGACCCTAATTGATAGCTCTAGTGGTAATGATATTTTTGAGTAATTAGATAATTTTATCATTATTTTGGAAAATAAAATAAATTATTAGTTGTATGGTTTTCCTACTACCATCATAATATTAATTATAATATTATTAAAAGTTAAACTAGAATGTTATTATGTTTTTATGTGAGTTTAATTAAATAATAAAATTTTATTAATTTATGAGATTTGATTAAAAATACTTAATATATAGAGACAGGAACAATAACTATTTTATATGGGAAATGATGAAAATTGAATGGGAAATTGTAACTAACTTTTTTTCCTATTATTTTCTTATATTTTTCTTGGGAAGGGTCAAAAACATAAATTTGTAAAAAAAAAAAAATCAAATAATTACCTCATCACCGAAAAGGTTGAGAAAGACTCCGTGAGGTTCCGATTGTGCCATGAACAATAACTCTTTCGTGTCTGCTTCAAAGAGAAGGGGACCGTGCAAACTTGCTTGTCAAAAAAATTCATTTTTCTTTTTTTGGGTTTAAAGAAAAAAAGAAAGAAAATAATGGGGGTGTCCCAACTTGGATAGTTTCCAACCACGATAAAAACATTATAATTAAAATTAGTGTAGATTTATCAATGAAAATTGAATCCAGTGAAAAAAAACTAGTCTAATATGATAAATTAATGTTTGAATTTTTGAAGGAAAAAATTTAGTTTACATTGTAGATTTATGTACTGTATAAAATTTTTTTTAAAAAAATTACAAATGATAAAAGAACAATTTTGTCTTTAAACTATAGGTCCAAAAAATTTAGCTCAAACTCATTTTTAATGTAATATTTTTTTAACTTTTAAAAATAGTGTAATGTCACCTTAGTCGTTAACATTTATCATTAACAAAAAGTAACTTTGACTATTAATTAATAAGGAAATCATGGGACATAAAAATTATAAAAAATTGATTGAGAAAATTACAATAAATGATCCAAAACTACAATGACAAACAAATTAAAAGAAAAGACTAATAAAATTTTGGATTAGGGTGTATTTTTACTTTTAAACAATTCTCCAACTAGTACCCAATTTTTAAACTATTTTTTATAATAATTTTACTCTTAAAAAAATTAAATGCATATTTGTCCCGATGTTAAATTCCTTAACATTGACCTTTAAAAATACTAATTAGAACTTAAATTTGGTAAAAAAATCACATATCATGTCAAATGGATTCAATTTAAGATATTAAATATATAAAAATAGCCTTTGATATTTCCTAATACTAATTAATATTACAAGAATTAATTAAGAATCACTAGTTAAATATAACTTTTTCATTCTACCAAAAGAAATATAATTTTTTCAATATTTTAATTTTAAAAAAATTATATAAACTAAAATGATATTTTTGTTTAAAATGATAAAATAAATAGTAATTATACATTATACAAAAAAAAGCAATGCACAACCGCAAATATATACTCATTCTATTTAAAAATGTAAGGCACTTTTTGTAAAATTGAATATTAAAAAATATAAAGTATTTTTAATCTTTTAAAATGTAATTATTACTTTTTTTTTCAAAAGTGCTCCTATTAATCAATGACTTTATATTTATTATAAGGTGTTAAATATGGATAAATATAAAAAGATAGGGTTAACTTAAAAGTAGGTAACTACTTTATTGAGAGTGAGATTGAGTTAAAAATGTCTTACATTTTTTAATGGAGGGAGTATTAGTTATTCATGAATTTTTGTGAAATGTTTCTTTTTTTCAATATTTTCTTTCATTTTATTATTTTTATAAAATATAAAATACTTTCTATCTTTTTTTAAGAAAAAAACAAACTTTCTGAAATTTACAGATTCTCCAGGATATACCAAACATTTCTTTGGATGTGTTAAGGTAGGCAGACAGGAAAATAATGCATCCAATATAGGATTTAAGTATTTAATTCAGTGGACCACTTTTGTACACGTGAATTTTCATGTTTTTAAAGTTGTTTTTTTTGAAAGAATTCTAATTCTATTTAATATATATATATATATATATATGACAAAATTTATTTATGGTCAGAAATTTTAAACATAAATGTTGAGAACAAGTTTTGATTTATTATTTATTTATATTACAATCGTATATAATTGATTAATTATGGCTCACAAGACTCTGAGTCGGCAGATAATATTTGTATTTATTCGTCATGAATTCCTTATCTTGTACGTATGCCTGTAAATAAAATAGCATGATAAATCAGTAATAACTGTCTACTTTTTCTAAATTAAAGCCCTTTTATTTTCTTTTAGGTTTAAGGTAGCATTTAGATTGATAAATTTAAAGTTTTGCATTTCAAATTTCACATTTAAAATTCATATATTTAAAAGTTAGGTAATGCAAAAAATTTTAAATGAAGAAAAGAAATGAAATAAGATTCAAAATAAAAATTAAAAAATTAAAAATTATCATTTTATTTCTATTTGATAATGGACAAGAAATAAGAAAAAATACGATAACCATAGAAATATAAATATAAAAATGTGAAGAGAATAAGATGTTTGAAGTGATTAAAATTTTAAATAATTAAAATGTAAAAAAAATTTAAAATGAATTCAGATTTCATTCAAATCTAATTTATAATTTTTTATGTATCTAAATGAGAGATTTGTTCAAATACAAATTCTCATTAATCTAAATACACTATTAATTTATTGTGGCACGAGAGCTCAGCTTCTAATTTTTTTTTTAGAATTATTATGCATCATTCCAACCCTCCTCCTCTTTTACGCACTGACGCACGTGCGTTCATCACACTCCCATGCCAAGGCACAAAAATTTGCCAAATGTGAGAATGCGCCGAATGCAATACCACAAAATCTAAAGCAGTGTTTGGTCGTAGCCAAATATGCATTGTACATAAATTAGTTAAAACGTCATCGATTTTCTATAAATAGCACACCCTCGTCCTCTTGGGATCATACAAGTGAAGGCATTAATTTCTCTGATCTTCAATCACTTGAGCAAGGAGCAAACGAAAGCAAATGGAGATGGATTTGACACCCAAGAAGGCACAAGTCATGTTTGAAGGAGATGGTGGATCTTACTACTTGTGGTCAAATTCTCAAGTGCCTCTTCTGGCTAACAATAATGTTGCTGCTTGTTTGCTTAAGCTTCAACCTCAAGGCTTTGCTCTTCCTCACTATGCAGATTCTCCTAAAATTGGCTGTGTTCTTCAAGGTACCTCACAAACCTCCTTCTATTACCTTTTCTTTATACATTTAGTTACAATTTTACTAGCATCCTTTTGATTATCTTAATTTATCAGGCTCTATTAAGGCATATATATTGTTCATTAATACATTTTCCTCATAGACTTATCTAGAAGAGTGCTTCCAAATAAAAATGTTCCCATAAACTATCCTACAAGAGCGTTTTGGCGTAGAAATGCTCCCATAGCTCTACATATGAAAGCGCTTACATATGGAGCGTTTTTAAAGCACTTTCTTAGATTTTTTTTTTTTTGGGGTAGTAAAGACTATTTATCAACTACATAATATGAAAGTCTTGAATCTTATTCTCAATGGCTTGGTAAATGTAGGGACTGATGGCATAGTTGGGATAGTGGTCCCAAACACAAGAAAAGAGGTCGTTTTGAAGCTGAAGAAAGGAGATGTAGTACCATTACCTATAGGAGGGGTCTCATGGTGGTTCAACAATGGAGAATCTGAACTCATCATAGTGTTTATGGGTGAAACATCTCAAGCTCATGTTCCAGGCCAATTCACCTACTTCTTTTTATCTGGAGCTCAAGGAATTATGGGAGGCTTTTCCTCTGAGGTCATAACCAAAGCTTTCAATTTGACCACAAAAGAAGCAAACAAACTCACAAAGAGCCAACAAGAAGCTTTGATCCTTAAGCTTCAAAAAGGCCAAGATATATTGCCCATCCCTCACATGGACAAGACCATGGAGATGGTGTACAACATTGATGCTGCAAAACCAGACCACATGGCCAAAAATGGAGGGTTGGTCACAACTTTGACTGAGTCAGAGTTTCCTTTTATTGGAGAAGTTGGGTTTAGTGTGATCAAAGTGAAGCTTGAGCCTAATGCTATTAAGTCACCACTGTATCTAACCAACCCTGCAGTTCAATTGATTTATGTTGCTAGCGGAAGTGGGAAATTTGAGATTGTAGGGTTTGATGGCAAAATGTTGTTGGATTCTCATGTTGAAGCTGGTCAATTGCTTGTTGTGCCTAAGTTTTTTGTGGTTGCACAGATTGCTGGTGAAGATGGAATGGAGTGCTATTCTATCCTCAGAACAAAAAAGTGAGTTCCTTTATTGATTAACCAAGTCTTCTACAATTTATTGAATTTTTGATAAAAATATATAAATTTACTTCATATCACATCTTAACTCAAAATCATAAAACATCAAGTCATGTATGTCGTGAGAATTGCAGGCCTGTGTTTGAAGAGCTAGCTGGGAAGTCATCAATATGGGAGGCCATATCTCCACAAGTGCAAAAAGTGGCTCTTAATGTGGCTGATCCAGATTTTGAGAAGCCTTTCTTGTTCAACAACAACAATTCCACAAATCTCATTCCTCCAGCCAATTGCAATTGATTTGTAGTTTTCATCTTCTCTTCAGATTAATTATTCACGTCATATATGTTATTAGTTTATATAATTTGTGTTTTCACACATGTTAACTCCCTACATGTGTTGATCCATATTTGCTTATGAGATAATATATGAAGTTTATAAATATGGGCTTTGTTTATTGAAGGTGATTTTTATGTATGGTTTACATGAATGCATACTAATTTAGATGAGGTGTTAGCCCACATTTTTCATTTTAGTGTAACAAAAAAGTAATGTTTTTTGGCCCATAATGGCAATTTAATTCCAAATTGAGAGCCTAGAGCAGCGAAGTTCGAAATTGCGTGATGGCAAAACAAATTAATTAGACGTAATAATTTCAGGTATAATCCAAAATTAATAACTTTTCACTTGAACAAATATATTTCGACAAGAATTGTGCCATGTGGCGGGGAAAAAAAAAGATAAAAGATAAATTCTCCAAAAAATGTATACTTCATTCAATCCCTATTATAAAAGTGTTTTATAAACTCATTCTTTAAACCTTAATATGAGATACTTACTGGGTATTAATTATTTTTTTAATATTACTCATATTTAAACTTATTAATTATATATAACAGAAAATATAATATAAATTTAAAAACTTTTCATTTAAGTAGAAGTAAAATAGGGAACTTATTCTATTTTTAGACAAGCTAATTATTTAACTTTTTAGTTCTAATAAGATAATTAAATATATTTTATAATAGGAATGGAGGGAGTGTAATATATGTAGTTTTCAATTTTGCTTCTTTGAATAATTACACGCCGCTACAAATGCACAGTGTCTTTTTCTTTGATAATATCACAGACACACGCGCGGGGGCCCAAAAGTCTAGATTAGGACGAAAACTTCAAGAAAGTATGAGAAAGTGAATTGTTTTTTTAATAAATTTTCACGTGAAGAAATTCATCTCAAGTTGTATAAAAAAGAAAAAGAAGAAATTCATATCAACAAGAATTAATTGCATCATGCGCATACGTGTGGGCCAAAAAAAAAAATTATAAGAGATTCATGCAACTTTGCTTCTTTGGGTATATAATTAGGGAGAATGGCAGGTAGGTAATTCAAATTAAGTCTCAAAATATTAAATTTTAAAAATTTACAAGTTCAATTTTTAATTTTATAATTTTATTTTGATGAATATGTAACTTTTTTTTAATTTTAACATGGTTGAAGAATAAATAAATTTATTCTCTATTAAAATTTAAAATACAAGTTATAATTTTATCACAATAAAATTGTAATATTAAGAGCCGAACTTGTAAATTTTTAAAATTTAAAACTTTGAGACTTAATTTAAATTAATTGATCTCTTTAAGACCTATCTACCATTTTTTCTATATAATTATGGCCACAAATGTAGATTGCCCTCTTTTCTCTGAAATTAACATTGCATCTATACTCAGCCAATTTTAGAGTGGGACGAATATTTATTGCTTGTTTTATAGCTTCTGCACGAGGAAGAACAAAACAAACGAGACTAACTTAACTTAATGGATCCATTCGAGGTGGAGACTGATGGGCGTGAGCCAAAATGAAGGGCTCAGGAAAAATAAATAAATAAATCGTCTAAATTAATTAAAATTTAAATTTGATTCAAAATGGTTCACTTTTTGTCAAATAATTAGACTTGACAACGTTCAAATCTTACTTAATTAGATACCATAAAAAAAATTAAAATGACCGGCTTGGCTCAACAAATTTAAGGATAATTCAAGAGAACTTTACAAAATTTTCGTTAAAAGGAATGTTTTCCCAAAAAAAAAAATTTGTGACATGTGTGGCCCAAAAAGATGAGAGAGATTGTACAATATTGGTTTTTTATGAATAATTATACCCACTAATCCCAAACCTCACGGCTCACGCACAAAAGTTAATTGATTGACCGCTCCTTCCAAAATAACCCCACTCCACCCAATCACAATTATCTCCCATATTACATGGATACGTGTACGCTCCCTTCTGTCCTTATATATAATCCGTATAAAAATATAAAATATTTTTAAAAAATAAATATTTAAAAATATAAAATATTTTAATTTTAAAAGTGTAATTATTATTTTTTAAAGTATCCCTATTAATAATAAATTAAATTTATTATTAGGTATTTTAATAAAAATAAATATGAAAGATAAGGTTAGTTTGAAAGTAGATAACTTTTTAATGAAGGGTGAAATTCGTTTAAAAATACCTTATATTTTTTAAGAAAGAGAGAGAATACTTATCAATATTTTTTACAGTTTAAAAAAATTATGAGATTATTTTTAAAAACATTTTAATATTTCCATTATATCTTTATTAATTAAAAGGAGCATCATCATACCTTATCAAGTTACAAAAGCTATTAAAATTAGAGAAAATGACAATAAAATCTCTCTAAAATATATATAATGACAATTTCGATTTTTAAAATGTCATAATTTTTCTAAAGTTTTTAGAAACTTTTCTATTATTAATGAATTAATAAATTATCAATTATTCTTGTTGAAAATAAAAAATTCACAAGTTTTATTTAAATATTTACAATTTTCTTTTATATTGTTAATAATGTAACAGAAAATAAAAAATGTAACATAAAAAGTATAATTTTTGTTGGTTTATTGTTGCAAATATAAAAAAAAAAACTATGAATAGTTAAACAAAAGTTGCAAATCATTTTTTTTCAAACAACGGCAATTTGATTATTTTTTATAAATTCATTAATGATAAAAAATTTTTAAAAACTTTAGAAAAATTATGGCATTCGAGAATTTAAATCATCATTTATATATTTCAGAAAAATTTTATTATTTTATTTTCTTACAATTACAGAGGTAAAAATAAACATCCTTTGATTTTCTCTCTTGACATCTTATAATTTAAACCAACTTGTATATTTAGAAGGTGCCTTATAGTATAAAGATTAGAGAGAGCATAAATATGTTTATATGATTTTTTTAAAATTTTTTAAATGTTTTAAAAAGTATATATAATTATACATAATTTATTATCTAATATTTTTTAAATTATAAAATTAATTTTTTAGAAAAAGTATGATAAGTGTTAAAAATTTTAAATTAATAAAACATTTTTGTTTTCGAAAAGTTGGTCCCCTGACTATTAAAGCTCGTTCGGCGGGCCTCATATGCAACGGCCCCTTATTCTGATAATGCGTGTGCGCATGCACACAAGGATGGATCACATTCACAAGTCAAGAAAATATTGCATAACAAGATGAGATCCCAAATTTTTATACGCCTCATTCAAAAAATTTCATTTGCCCCATCATTTCAAAAAATTCACTTGCTCCTTTATAAAAATTCACTTCTCCCATATAAAAATTTATGATCTAAAAGATTAAAAAATTTATCCCATCAAAAAGTAATTTTTTTATTTTATACATTTTTTTAGCATTTAATTTATTATGTTATATCTTTAATAAAAAATAATAAATATTTAAAATATTTTTTTAAAAATATTAATATATTTTTTAAATATAAATTATGTCCCCACCAATTTATTTATTCTGGATCCATCACTATAACACACATATTAATCTTCTTAGAAAAATATATTATAAGAACCAGATTTAGAAACTCCTATAAAGATCAAGTTCAAGTATTTAATATTCAAACTATTTATAGGAAAGCATTCAACAACTGGTATTCTTAAGAATAAAGTTCCGTTTGATTACTAAAAAGAATGTAATATAATAGATTAAAAACTTAACCTAAAATAAACTAAATTATCCTTTCTTCTCATGGTAAATATAATAAAACTTTTTAATGTATGTTACAGTTGTGAAAATCATCACATCTTTAAAAAATATTATGAATCATGATTTCTAACTCTATAAACTAAATTATCCTCTTCTATGTGGTTTTATTATTTCTTTTAATCATCTCATTTTTACATTATATTTTTTCAATCATTCCATTCCTTTCACTAACCAAACGGGACCTAAATAGTTTCTAAATTTAATCTCTTTGAATAACTTTAATATAGTTTCCCAAGTTTCTACACCATGAAGGACAAAACAAACATTAAAAGCTTAGGCATGCATGTTCTAAAAATGGAGATCGATTTTATGTAATGATTTATAGATATTGAATCCCCAGCTGAAATTGTATTATTATTCAGCTTAAAAGTCTGATGACATCAACCAGAATCATCAAATAATAAAAACGAAAGAATATGCGATGAAGTAGCAAATGACCGAAAATGTGAGAAGGGACATAAGAATGCGTCTCACGAGATTCAATCAAACCCATGATGATGGCCCATTTGCATCAACCGTCTCTCACTGGTCAGGCCCAATACCCTCTCTGAATTGGGTCATAACATTACCTCCCCATTTACGATGTCATTGAATTCTTATGTACGGGCTACGAGATATTGAGGTACTGGTAAGTATTGTCTATTGTGTTAGGAGTTTGATATGCAGGACCCTAGCAGAGAAATGAAATTTATAAGCTCAAAAAATTATTCTAATATGGGATTCTTTTAGGATGAGACTTCCTTTTTGACTTGTGTTGGGCCTAGGGAGCTTCTTGGAAGGAAGGAAAATAGAGCTAGGCCACCCAACAATTTTAAAAAGACACATACATACACCTCATATCTTAACTCAACTTTAAAGCATTAAGTGTATTTTTTTTTTACTCATATACCTATTTTTAACTCAACTCTATTCGATGTGAGATTTTCCTCATGTCACATCAAAGCAACTCACATTTGATATCCTAACATCATGCTTGTAACATTGGTGCCATCATTAATTAAGAGGTCGATATTATCGAGATAGTTACCTATAGAGGGTTCTAAGAAGTAGAGATTAAGTAAGGTGAGTGGAATTGTTTGGAAAAATTGGCTCTCAAACGAGGTGCATTGTTATAAGTTTCATAAGAAAAGTCTCACAAACAAACATAGGGTTTATATAAGTTTAAGAGACTTTTTTATTTAACAAGCTAGTTTATCAAATGAGTTCTTCTTCTAAGTTTATACTCATAACATTAGCGTTTTCATAAAAAAGTCGATGTCACGAAGAGAGTTATCCATAAAGAGTTCTAACTGGTAGGAAGCTGTAGTGTAGTAGTGTCACCAAGAAATAAGC